CGGAGTTTGGGGTCTTGGCATTTTAAGGGTTGTTGGGGACTATTTTGCCTCACTTTTATTTTAAATATGTTAACGGGGAGGAAGAAAAAATGTAGAGGTTTTGTGGAGGCAGAAATAGTTGTAAAATGTGGGGATCCCTCTAAAGTGGGGCTCCTTCATGGCTTGTGTTGCCCTGTGTGTCTTTTTTGTTGGTTTTGGTTTTCTTTGTTCTTTGAGGCATGGTCTCCCTGAAGCCTCAGCTGGCCTGGAACTTACTGTATAGTCCAGGCTAGCCTTGACCTCACACAGAGGCACTTGTCTCTGCCTCCTAACTGCTAGCCTTGCATATTTTTAAGATGCCAAGGAGCTCAGAAAGTGACTGAATGTGACTAGTAATAATCAGATATATAGAGATTAGAAACGCAGGTGTAAAAATCTTAATGTCAATTGCATTAAAAATGATTTTTTGTGTATGAAACTGTGTATTTTATTAATGAAATGGAGATTTTTTTTAAAGGTTAAAACCTCATTTGATTTTACATCTTATAGGGTTTATACTGAATACAATATTGTATAGCTGTAATAATTCAACTGTAAACCTATAAATTTACAGCCAGTTTTGAAAGAGATGCATCTTAGGTCAGGAAATTGTTATTGAATATGTCAATGCTGTTGTAATGAAATGCTTCTTCTAAGTATGTGGTTATTAAATAAATAAGTAAAAAAAACTGTTTTAGGAAAGGTTATTTTCAGTACTCGTTCATTGAGAGCTAAGGCTTATGCCATAAATTGATGGTGACTCTCAATTTGGGCTATTTTGGGGTTTTATAATTTGAAGTGGACAGGTTTCACTAAGGTAGCTTGTCTTTTATATTTTTAAGGATTCTTAAAGTGAAGGTTCATTTTCAGCCATGCTACTCTTTGTGAGCTGTGCCTTGTGGGATAATTTGATGGCAGGAGACTGCCAATATGGCTTGCTTTGGGGTTTTGGAACTTGAAATGGAGAGTTACCTGTGGTCATCTGTCTTGTTTGTCTCTAAGGGGCCTTAGGATAAAAGGTCATTTTTACCCATCCTAGTAATTTGAGCTATACCTAATAAGATAAGATGCTAGCAGGTGATGCTCTTGATATGGGCTGCTTGGGTTTTATAACATGAAGTTCAGATATATGGCCGTTTTAATTTGCCTTGTGTATATTTAAGAATTTTTAGAGAAAAAAGTCATTATCACCCATACTAGGCATGGTGAGCTATGCCTTTTGGGATATGATGCTAGCAGGTGAGGCTACTTAGGGGCTTTAAAACATTTTGGGGCATGGGGGTCTTTTGAGACAGGGTCTTGCTGTAGCCCCAGCTGGCCTGGAACCACATGACCAAGCTGACCTAGATCTCAGAGTTCTGTTTGCCTCTGCCTTTTGAGTGCTGGAATTAAAGACGTGTACCACCATTCCCAGTGGGGTTTTACAACTTTTTGTGCAAATACCTGGCTGTTTTGATTTGCCTTGGATGTCTTTAAGGATTCTTAAAGTAAAATGTCATTTTAGTAGTCACGGGAGCTACGTTTTATGGGATAAATTGATAGCAGATGACTCCAAATCTGGGCTTCTTTCGGGTTTTATAACTTTAACTGGAGGGATTCAAACTTAAGTCTGGTATGTCTTTTAGGAATCTTAGGGAAAAGGTCATTTCTAACCATTTAAGTAATTGTGTCCTATGCCTTGTGGGATAAGTTCATGGCAGATGGCTCTCTAGATATGGGTTGCTTTGTGGTTTTAGAACTTGAAGTGCAGATATCTGGCTGTTTAAATTTACATTGTGTGTCTTTAAGGATTTTTAGAATGCAAATGTCATTTTCCTTCTAGTCAATGTCATCTATGTCTTATAGGATTAGTTGATAGACAATAGCTCCCAATACGGCCTGCTTTGGGGTTTTATACCATGAATGGGAGCGATCTTGCTGTGGTAGTTTGTTTATTTTGAAGGAGCCTTAGCTTTAAAGGTCATTTTCAGGGGTCATGGCCATTGTGAGCTATGCCTTATGGGATCAGTTGATAGCAGGTGACTCTCTGGATATGGGATGCTTTGGTTGTTTTTCTTTTGTTTTGGGAGGATTTTTTTTTTTTTTGAGGTACGGTATCCCTGTTGTACCAGCTGGTCTGGAACTCTCTATGTAGACAAAGGCTGGCTTTGATCTTACAAAGATCTACCTGCCTCTGCTTCCTGAGTGTTGGGGTTAAAGGTGTGCACCACCATACCTGGTCCTGCTATTTTCTTTTTTTTTTTTTTTTTTTTTTTTTTTTTTTAACCTGAAGTGCAGATATCTGGCTGCTTTAATCTGCCATCTATGTCTTTAAGGAGTATTGGTATAAAAGCTAATTTTCATGCCTCCTTGCCATCATCAGATATGCGTTTTGGTTTAATTTGATAACACACGACTCCCAATTTGGGCTTCTTTGGGATTTTGTAATTTGAAGTGGAGAGACTAGCAGGTGACTCTACCAATAGAGGATGCTTTGGGGTTTTAGAACTTGAAGTACAAATAGCTGTCTGTTTTGATTTGCTTTGTATATCCTTAAGGAGTATTGAGATAAAAGGTAATTTTCACACCTCCTCGCCATTGTGAGATCTGCCTTTTGGTTTGATAGCACACAACTCCCAATTTGAGCTTCTTTGGGATTTTATAACTTGGAGTGGAGAGATTTGGATATTGTAATATGGCATGTATGTCTTTAAGAAGTCTTAGGTATAAAAGATCATTTTCACTGGTCTTAGTAATTGTGTGTTGTGCCTTAGGGGATAAGTTGCTATCAGGTGACCCGCTCGATATTGACTGCTTGAAGTTCCATAACTTGAAGTGTAGATATCTGCTTATTTTATTTTGTCTTGTGTGTTTTTAAAGATTCTTAGAGAAAAAGTTCATTTTCAGCTCTTCTAGTCACTATGAGCCATGTCAATCTATTGCACACTGTTCTCTGGAGTTGTCTATGGCCAAGTTTGGAAGCATTTTATTAATGTAAATAGGGAATTATGTATCTGTAAGAGCTTATATTAGTAATGGAAATACTTTGTCTGCAGAAGGCCACTTAGTAAATATTTTAGGCTTAGAACAAGGGGAAAGTGCTATGAGATGACCTTTGAGGGATAGGCATGTTTCTCATTCTTTAAGGACCTTGCAGGACATGGTAGGAGTTTAGATTTTATTGTGATATTGCTATGGAAGGACCCAGAAGATTTTACTAATAGACAAGTAAAGAATGCTGAGTCTACACTTACTAGCTATGAGGCTTTTTTTTTTTTAAAAAGTACTCATGTATTCTTTACTTCAGCTTTCCCATAAGAAGAATGGAGACAATCATAAAAACGGTCTCATAGAGCTGTTAATTAGCAAGGTTTAAGAAAAAGAGAAAAGTGCAAATTAAATAAAACAACGGTTTCAAGTAGATTTTGTAATAGTTCTGTAATTAAAAATTCTTATACTTCTGTATAAAAGTAACTTGTTGAAATAACTAGAGAATATGTGGAGTAATTTTGAGTAGCTCATTAATCATGGTTTGAACTTAGAAAATGTTATAAAAATCTGTGCTCAAGTTTTTTACTTTTATCAAATTCTGGTTTGATGTAATTTTTTTAGAGCATGGAAAGAGACAAAAGCCTTCCCAGTTCATTTTACAGAACAATTTGAATATCAGGAACTTTAAAAATGTATCAATATTGGCTTATTAATAGTGGGAAATGGCCCATCTAATTAAGATCTTGGACATAGAGATGGAAACTATTTTAAAATAAAATACTAACAAATTGAATGCTATTTCCTCCATCCTAAGAATATGAAGCAACCGATATGTTGCATAAGAGAAAGTCATCTAATCATCTGACACCTAAGTCATTTGGTACTATCTACTGTTTGCTACGGTTTTAATCTATGTTCAGGATCAACAGGGTATTAAGTATGTTGGAGAGCATCTGACTGATTCCACCAGCCCTATTTATTTGGACTGTTTAAAAGTAATGTGGGCATTTTCCAAATGTGCATGTCCTGTTTTCTACATTTTTAAAATCTATTCTTTTTAGTTCTAGGAACTTCTAGAAACTTCTAGAACTCCTTGTACCAGTACATGACTCTCCTGCAGCATTCACTGTAAGAGTAAACTGTCAGAACTAACTTCTTGATGCATTTACAAGATAGGACACTAAGTTGTTGTTAAAGAGACTGTGTTATCTCTAAAGATGTTAGCTTGGAAAGATTTTTCCCACCATAGATTGCTTTGGCCTGGTTTTGAGTTTTACAAGATTTCCAGGTTCTCTATTGTGTCTGGCTTCTTTTACTCAAGGTTGGGGTTATGAGGTCCATCAGTGCTGGGAGCAGCAGTTAGGTGCTTTATTTTCATTTCTGTGAGTTTTCCTTTTTGTGGTCATACTGTAGGTTAATTACAGCTCACATTAATTTTATAGTCAGAAAATTCCAGTTAAATATAAAATGTGGTAGAAATTACAGTTCAAATCGAGATACCTTACAATTTGAAAATTTTATACAGAACTGATCTGTGTTTAACTAACTTGGGAGTTAATGCTCTCACCTTCTTAATCTCCTTTTGATTTTGGTCCTTTTGGCTTTTGGTCACTAGTATCTCCACTATATATTGAAGGGGAACAAAAACGAGGTGAAACCCTGATCCCTTCATTGCTGCTCTGGCTCAGGATGGATAAAGTGAATTAGCTTTTGCACTAACGTGCCCTGTCGAGTAATTATGTGGCAAGAATGGAAATCAGACTCTAGGATCCTGTCATTGCAGACATACCTGATACCAGTCTTGTATTTAATAGCTCAGATCCATAACCTAACCTTGAGAATTCTAGATTTCTCATCTTATATTTCAAATCCATTTATTTACATTTAATGTAAAGTCTAACTAATAAGGAACTAATGATTTTGGAGATTCATTGGGCCTTGGAGATGCTCTCAAGGGTCCAGGACAGGTGAGGAGGCAGCGGTGGTGACCCAGGATCCTGGCAGCAGCAATAATGATAGCAGCGGCGGCGGCGGCAGCAGCAGCGGTGGCAACAGAAGCAGTGGCACTAGCTCTGGTGGCGGCTGTGGTGGTAGTCTGCAGATCAGAGCAGGCTCCTGGGGCAGAGTCTGGAGGTGCTCTGCTTCCTAGAGCAAAAACTCCCTTTGATTCCTTTTACAAAAGCCTTAGCAGTCTTCTCTTGTTTAGTCGTGTTCCAGGGTGTATATTATGCAGACTTCAAGTTATGAAACACGGTCTTCATGAAACACGGTGTTCACAGTTTGGACTTGCTTTTACCATTGATGTTTATTCCAAGTCAGTACAGACCCCCCCTCCTTTTTTAATGTGTGTGAGTGTATTGCTTGCATGTAAGTAGGTGCACCTGTGTCGTGCAGTGCCCACAGAGGTCAGAAGAGGGCGTTGGATCCCTTGGAACTGGAGTTATAGATGGCTGTTAACCGCCACGTGGGTGCTGGAAATTGAACCCGGGTCCTCTGCAAGAGCAGATAGTGCTCTTAACCGCTGAGCAATCTTTCCAGCCTCTGATTTAGTATTTTAAAGTCATATACAGGTTGATTCAGGTACCAGATGTGTGAAGTAACTGTTTTATGCATTGTCTTTCAGGAGTAGGTTTACCTATCTTAGTGACTAAGCAGTCACATTATTAGGCTCAACTCGGAGGAAGTAAGTCTCTCCTGTTATACAGCAAAGATGTCTAGCTCCAATGAAGCCAATGAGGTTTGTATTCTATATTGATGATCTCTATTCTTTTTTGTGCTTTATAGTTCTTGTTAAACTGAGCTAAGTTTCATATGGCGAAATATATAAGAAGTACAATTTTGTAGTGAATTTGACAATGATATATAAAATTTCCATGAGCATCTGTATATAAATTTGAGAACATGTACTTACACGTTTCCTGGAAAGTCAGAAGTTGAATTGCAAAATGGTAGAGTTGATGTAAAACTCAGCTTTATAAGAATCTGCCATGCAGTTTTTCAAAGTGGTTTGCTTATTTTGCATTTCTGTTACATTCTGCTGTGTTTCTTAATCTTTGAGGTTGAACCAAAATGTATATACTATACTATATATAATTTAGTCTAACTGTGAACATATTTAGTTACATAAGAACATTGATATTAGTGCAACTGAAGTAATGCAGGCAACTCTCAACTTCTATCAACTGTAATGATTTTCATCTTTGGAGACAATGTTCACTGTTAATTATTGAGAGCAATTTGGGGTGTAATTACATGAAAGCGCTTTGAAAACATAAGCCGTTATATAAAGGTAAAGTGCTGTGTCTTCCTATGGAGTGTTCTATAGCCCAATTGTATATTTTACTTATCTAATCAGTGCAGGGAATTTATCGTATTTTGAAATAAGCACATAGGGAGCTACTAAGTATGTTTACCTTAAATTTTTCCTTGATTCATAGTTTCTTCTTAGAACAATTATTTTACTGAAGTGTAACAGTGATGTAAGGTCTCTTATTTATACCCTGTCTTATTTCCAATTTTTTTAAAAAAATTATTTATTATTTTTATTTTATGTGTATGTGTACATTGCCATGTCGTGCAAGCCAGAATGCCAGCGGAGGTCAGAAGAGGCTGTCGGATCCCATGGGACTGGAGTTACAGAGAGTTGTTAGCTGACATGTGGGTGCTGGGATTCAAACTCGGGTCTTCTGCAAGAATAACCAGTGTTCTTAACTGATGAGCCATCTCTCCAGCCCCATTTCCATTTTTTCTTAAAAGGTGGTTTAGAGATTTATCAAGAAAAGTGCTTAAGTGTTTCCTGCGTTGGCCACGGAGTGGCACTGTTGGATTGTTTATCAAAAACATTAGCCCAGTCTCTGGTTCATACTTAGAATTTTTTGCTTTGAAAGCAGTTTCAGCATTGAAGGCTAATGTTTCTGCTCTGAAGTACAGAAGGGGTTAAGCTTGGCAGGAAAGGGTCTCTGGGATGTAGCTGGACTAATGAGAGCACACTTCTGCGAGTATATCTTTTTTCCTTGTTTCCTGAGACAGGGTCTCTGTCCCAGGCTGGCCTTAAGTACTCCATCCTGCTTCAGCCTCCTGAGTTTTGGTACTCATAGGGATGTGCTATCATGCCTGGCTCAAGTACACTTTTCCACATAGGCATTGGCATACGTAACAGGCAAAAGTCCTTTGGAGACACAACAGATCTTTGGAGCTTCTGAGAAGTGAAATTATAGTCTCCAACTTTTCTTTTTAGTTCTAGCTTTCATTTTTCCTTTTAATTCATTAAAAAATCTTTCTCAGACAAGAACATAAACATCTTCATATGATGATGATGATGATACTGTTCTTTATACATATGAAACAAACACTGAATATTCCAATAATGTAAATAATATTAGCAAATAGTTGCCCAATATATCAGCATTTAACATCTTAAATAGAAAGGCTTAAAGTCCAAATACACTATGAATTTCCTCTAAATTTACACTCAAGGAAGTACTTTTTCCTAAATAGCTTTAGACAGTGAGGTCTTAGCCACTTTATGTCCTCCTTTTTAAATATATACTAGGAAATTATGAGCAACTTTGTACTGGAATTCTCAATCTAGATTCTTCTAACAAATTGTTCCTTGCTCTCAATTGGAAATTATCATTTCCACTTCTGGTCATGTGAATTTTTATTTTAAGACTTTTAAAAGGTTGGTTAAAACAAAACCCGAGGGGCTGGAGAGATGGCTTAGCCATTAAGAACACTGGCTGTTCTTGCAGAAGACCTGGGTTCGAATCCCAGCACCCACATGGCAGCTAACAATTGTCTGTAACTCCATTTCCGGGGGATCTGACTGCCTCTTCTGTCCTCTTTGGGCACTGCATGACATGAGTGCACCTACGTACATGCAGGCAACACATGCATACACATAAAAAAATAAATAATTTACTCAGCATGTGTGGCACAGTGCATAAGGTTCAGTGATGGTCTGGATTTGAATGGGAAATATATGAAATTTTAAAAGCACAATAAAATATATATAAATAAAATAAAACCTGAAATATATAAATATAAGGCATGTTTTCTCCCACACTATTCAATGAAGTTCTTACTGAAATAGAGAATTAACTACTTATAAAAATGTTCTAGTATCAACAAGCCCAATCTCAAGTATCTGAAAACGGAGATGAATCCAAACCACTTATGATTATCCTGAACTATTGCCGGGTAAGAAAACGCTCTCTCTCTCTCTCCACTATGGTTTTCTAAAACATTAGAGTAAAAGCATTTCTTATATAAGAGGAAAGTGTACAGTTAATTGAAATCCTGCCATATCAAATTACTTATAAGTATTGTGATCATTTTAACATTTTCTACTTAGAATAGCATTTTCAGGTGAATACATATATATGAACATTAAAATTATTGATAAAATGTATACATGTATTTTCTATCTAGATTGCTCAACATTTCATTTCCACTATAAAACCTTTAAGGGAAATTGATTTGGGTGCAGTTTTATTATATGCCTAATTACACATCAGGATATCTCAACTGAAAGGAAAGGGCAACCAAGTCATGTTTTATAAGGAAATTGTCTTATCTAATTTTGAGGGAATTTCGTAAAAATAAGTTGGTAGAGACTGATAGTAGTATGTAATTATCAAGGATTTTTGTGAACTGCATACTTCCCTGAGGGTTCTGGCCAAGTAAGGGGTGGTGGTTTGTTTCTTTTACTTGTTTTGCGATGCTTCTTTAAGGTCTTAAGGTTGAAGAGTTCCCTGTAGAAGGTGAATCTCCTCATTAGCAGATTTGAACACTTGTAAATGAGCACTTTCCTGAGTGTGAAGTTGCTGGAGCACACATAGGGTGGGAGTCTGCCTAATGTTATGATGTGCTGGCCTTCTGATATTGAAACTCCTTCCAAGTATGCATGAGTCAGATAGCACAGAAGCAAGTGAAGATTAGCTGTCTCAGCCAGGTGGACTGTGCTACTTACAAGCAGGCCTTAAGTAGGTAACACGAGGTTTCTGGCTGCTGGAGAGCTTCCACTGTATCTAGCAAATAACACTTCACTTCATGCATTTTCAAACGTGTTTCTTTTGAAACAGAAACTACTAATACCTTTTATTATAACAGGCTATAAATGAAAGTGTTCAGAAGCTGGAAGAGAAGGTAAAGAGCATTGATGAAAAAGTATCAAAACTCCAGACTCATCGTACCAGAGAATTTTGGACGTATCCTTTAAATATGAAACTACAACTTTGGTAAATATACGGTATTTAAAGATGCCAGTTAGTCCAAAGTGATAGAGAATTATTAATTGTGAGATTAGCAAAGGTTAGCTGTACTTGTGGGAGCAGATAGAGACTAAAATGATTTTGGAAGAATGCTGAAGTTTAGGCTTAATATTTGACAAGAAGTATTTTTATCTTTTAAAATTATTATTTTTTATCATTCTGTGTGTATGAGTGCATACACATACACCTGCATATAAGTATACTACATGCATGCAGTAGCCCCCAGAGGCCAGTAGAGGGTGTCAGATTCCCTGAAGCTGGAGTTACCAATGGTTGTTTGCTGCCATGTGGGAGCTGAGAATTGAACACAGGTTCTCTGGAAGAACAGCATGTGATCTTAACCACTAAGCCATCTCTCCAGCCTCACAATGAGTATTTTATATTTATGCCTATAATATATAAAACAAATTAAATGTAGGTCTGAAGAACAAAAAAAACCCACATTCAAAAGAGAGCACTTAATTTTCATAATACCAAACAATGTTGCATAGAGATATTAATGTACTGACTACTCATTTTTTATTTCTGCTTTGATTATGAAGCCCCATAAATTTGTACTTAAAAAACACAATTACCTGATTTCTAAAAGTTTTAAAATTTTGAGACTGAGAAGACATATTCCTGAAAATTCCTTATCCAATTCCAAAAACTATAGAGCAACTGTTCAACCTTACAAGCCAGAAAAGACTACCGAGAACACTGAGGTCACCCAGAACCCTGAGAACCAGGAGGACCAGAACATCCTGGAGACTCCTGAGAACCCTGAGCCAATAGCATCAATATCTTATCATTCTGAGGCTTCCCAGGATGCATATCCTGAATCTCCACAGTCAGGCTCAGATTCCGCTCAAGTATATAATGCTTATGAAGACCAAGCTTATGATGAGTATTTAGAATCTGATGACGCCGGGGCTGGCACTTCTGCAGAGCCCTACTACTCTCAGGATCTTGACATGGCTGCAGATGATGCTAGTATTTATCGAGAAGATCCAGGGGAGCTTGGCCCCACACAGAATATTGAAACAAGGAGACAGGCCTCACCGGAGCCTCAGTATTCATCTTCTGACCCAGTTGCTGGTGAGTTTGAAATTGCACCTACTACAGTGGTTAACGTAGTGGTTAACTTTTTTATGCAACTCAGTAGGAGCAGTTTGCTTCCATTCAAAAAAAATATATTTTATGTGCCTGAATATTACCTGCATGTGTGTAAGTGCACCTGTGTGTGCAGTGCATGTGGAGGTAAGAAGAGGGTGTTGGATCCCCTGGAATGGGAGTTACAGATGATTGTTAGCCACCATGTGGTGCTGGGACCCGAACCCAGGTCCTCTGCAAGAGCACCAGTGCTCTTAACCACGGAACCATCCCCTGCTTCCTTAAATGTTTTACCTGCATGTATGTAAGTATATATCATGCGTGTTCCTGGTGCCCTCAGAGGCCCTCAGAGGGCACTGTATTCCTTGGAACTGGAGTTAAAGACGAATGTTAGCCTCCAGGTGGGTACTGGGGACTGAGAGATGGCTCAGCTGTTAAGAACACTATCTGTTCTTGCAGAGGACCTAGGTTCAGTTCCCAGCACCCACATGGTGCCTTAGCAATCATCTGTAACTCCAGTTACAGGGTACTTGACGCCCTGTTCTGACCTCTGTGGGCATTGCTCCACACAGGTGTACTTACGTACATGCAGGCAATACACTCATACACATAAAAATAAAAAATAATAACTAAAATATTTTTTTAAAAAATCAGGCGACTGATTGAAACCCTTAAAGAGTAAAGAATTAGGTCAGAGTATCTTAATTTAATTCAGATAACATCTTTTCCTATACTTGTCTGTGGTCCAGAGAGGCCTTTAATTGCTACATCTATTCCATGATTAAAGCTTTAAGGTATCTTCTGAAGCTGCGCCTACTGTTTGTGAGGGGTCCAATAGGATATTCTTATGTAGCTCTCTTCAGATCAGCTTCATTCAGACTTTGACTAGATTTTACAATTCAAATCTTGAGTCCTTGCTTGGGTACCTAAGAGTTGGTCCCAGTAGTGAGACTTTCACTTTCTGCCTAACAACTTTTCTTTCAGGATAATGATCAAGTCAATAATTGTCTATTTCACCTATCCTCATAGAAAACGAAGATATAGTATTCCAATGCAATCTTGCTGTTATGGAACAACTATACATTGGTGACCCTACAACCTGGACCGTGGGAGATGTGCTACAGTTTCTGTACAGTGTTGATGCTCCAATGGCTGATTACCTCTTCAACTTTATCAGCCGTCATGTAATGTATCATTTTAAATAAGATATTTTTGTTCAAATCAATGACTTGTGGGGCTGGAGAGATTGGCTCAACAGTTAGGAACTGGTTGTATCCCTTTTTATTTCTTTCTTGTCTTATGGCCATGAGATAAATTCTAATAAGTTCTACTTCCTTTCCTTTCTAATTTTACATCATCCTTAAGAGATTTTGGGGTTCTTTTTAGGCAACAATATATGATCAAATGAAGATTTATTTATTTATTAGGATTTATTTTTATTTTATGTGTATGAGTGTTTTTGCCTGCCAGTATGTGAGTGCATCATCTGTGTGCAATGCCCATGGATGCCAGAAGAGGGTGATGAATCCCCTGGAACTGGATTTATGGACAGTTGTTAGGCTCCATGTGAGTGCTGGAAATCAAACTTAGTCCTCTTCAAGAGCATCCAGTGCTTGTAACTGCTGAGCCATCTCTCCAGCTCCATGAAGTCTTATTTTTAAGCTGGAACTTGCAAAAACCAAATTATATGCTTTAGTAGCATGAGGTGATCAATTAAGAGGAAATTTGGAAAGGATACCTTGTACCTATTAATAGAATGCCCTAATGAATGCAGTCAATGTCTATACACTATGTGCAGCATTTTCAGTATAGAAAGAAAACCAATAATTGATCTTAGCATCTAATTAGCTTCAGACAACTAATTTGCATTCATATAAGGACAACACTATCAAGCACATTTACTGTTTGCATTAACACTGACATATTCCCAGCTTGTGTCTGAAAGTTATTAACCAAGAAATTCATTTATCTTGTTGATAGTTTTTACTTTTGTCATAGATACATAGTATTTCATAAATAATATGGTATTTAAAATCGGGTCATTTGATAAGTTCATTTAAAAATATTAAATTTGCTTTTGGTTAAAATTCAATGTGAATATACAAGTTGTCTAATTATACTTTGCCATATACAATAATTTTTTGATAAATTTAATAAAGTAGATGCATATTCAGAGACTTTATATCTAGAGTGAGCGGTTCTAGTTTTATGTGTTCTTGTACATAAAATAACTGCTTATCAAATGTGACAGTATTATTCATCTTTGTAAACTCTTTCTCTCTACAGGATATTGATGGTAATGCGCTACTGCGGCTTACTACTGAGAGACTGGTCAGAATTATGGGGTTGAATCTGGGAGTAGCCAGGAAACTCTGTGTCTACATTGACCATCTTAAAGACATTATCCGGCTGTACCAGTGAAAAAAATGTTTGCAGAAATTTAGATTCACCTCACCAGTTCCTTCTTAATGCATAATCAACTCTCTATTGTATTAGGTTTTGTTTTTTAGAAGGCTCCCCTAAAACATGGTATATCTAGAATTACAAAGCTACATTTTGAAGATTTCTTTAACATATTTAGTATTAACATACACAATCTGGAATTTTATTCTTTGTTTTAGAGTTTTCATTTTATAGCTTACACATATACTTCATGTAAGAAACAAAAAATAGACCTTTGATGTGGGCTTATCATATGTATTACTAAAGCAATTAAAGAAGAAATACAAGGAACTAGTAACTTTTATAATTAAATCTGCGAGGTTTTCACAAGACAGCACTTAGGGAGAAGTTACAGTTATTCTTCTCATATATTTTATATGATACATGTTCATGTTTTATCAGTTTCCAGATAAACAGCCATATGCATTATTTTCTCCATTATTATTACATCTTTGTCATACTTGATTAGATTTAGAAGAAAATGAAACAAAGTTTACTAAATATGTTTACCAACTTTCAGATAAGTAGTAGGTTATATAGAATGATCAATTTATTCAAGATATTATACCCCAAGAGCAGTTTGGAAGGAGTCTTACTATATTTTAAAGTAAATTCTTATTAATTTAAACTTTTCATGTTTTTTACAACTTTGCCCCATGTTTTGAGCCACTTCGGCTACTTACTATTGGAAGATACACTAGTCTGATGTGTTTTGAGCCTTATTTTGATTTAAAACTTTCAATAGAAGCATATGTGTCATTACTCTTTTGTTTTTGCTTGTAACATTGTGTAACTTTTGGTATAATATTTACAAGCTCGGAAGACTGGTGTTAATATTGTTTATTGCAAATGGCAATAAAATGTTCACTGGGGGAAATAATTTTTTTCTCTTTTGAAAGCAAAGTGTACTTTATGATTATTGAAACTATTTCCTGGATATATGGGGTTTAAAGGATTGCTTGATTTGTGTAACTTACTGCGGGGTAAGACAAGGTATTAACTAACACTTGTTATTTTGTCAATTGTTTGTATAAAAATGCCTCACATGCTTGAAAAGTGCTGTGTTATGCTGTTTATAGATCTTAAAATATAATAAAGTTCATGAACTGTGATAACTATGGTTATTTTGCTTGTTTTTACCATATAACAGTAGATTTGTTAAAGGTAAAAAAAGCCACTCTAGTAAACATTGTGTCTTTATCATTTAATTTATTCTGCTAAGAGTCAAACTCAGGGTCATATACAGGCTAGTCAAGTGCTCTATAACTCAGATTCATACCCAACACTCTTTTTACTTTGTATTGCATAAGACTGTCCTTCATCAGACAGACAGGCCATGGACAGATGCCTTCTTCCCAAGCTTGGTTGCACTTGCATAGGATCATCACAGCTGAGCTTGTTGACTATTTGGCTCACCACGAATGAAGGGACAGGGATAGTCAGCCATGCCTCCCAACCATCCTGTCCTCCCTAGTTGCTTGAGGGGGAGGGACTAAAGTTATATAAATTAAGGAAGCTATGGGGAGGATCTCTCGCCATTTTGTGCAGCTGTGGGGAAGTCATGATCCATGCCTGGATGGAGACTTTTCAGTGTGGCCTAAGGAGGGGAGAACCCACACTTGTAAGTAAACCTTCACCCACTGCTCTGTAAGCCTAATAAATTCAGTCTGTCATAGGGACCAAGGGAGGAAGGGAATGAACATCGTTTGTGCTTCCCAGAAGGAATTTTAGCTGCAATTGCTTTAGTCAACCAGGATATAACAACACTGAGGAGAGTTTGGGAAGAGTGATGGTGTTGTCTCTGATATGGAGAAGGAGATCAATAACTGAAAGGAAGCTAGGTGAAGGAAGAGTGTTGGCAGAAGAAATTCTGTGGGTATTTTTTTGTGTGAGTCAGGGTCTCCCTGTAATACCAGCTGTCCTGGAACTCATTATGTAGACCAGGCTGGCCCCGAACTGACAGAGATCCGCTTGCCTCTGCCTCACAAGTACTGGGACTAAAGGCATGCACCACCACAGCTGGCTCGGCAGAAGAAATTTTGACGAGGTAAACTATCCCCATAGGGCTGGTGGGGGTAGCGGCAGTGGCATGGTTAGTGCAGTGGTTAGTGAGATGTGTAACTAGGGTGAGGCCACCTTAGTTGACGATGTTGTCCGTGGGGGAAATCCTGGGATGCCTGTCTTCTTGGTGGTATAGAGTGACATGCCTCCTTGACTAGTATAGTCGGCCTCTGGAGGATGAAAATGCTTTGAGAATAACTGAAGGTCTAGAGCCGACATTACAAGCCCTAGAGTAGTGCACCAAGGTAAGAAGTATCAGCAAGCAGCTGCAGATGCAGTCTGGCCACCCCATGGGTAATAAGAGGCCTGTCTCAGGTCAAGTCAGAAGCCCAGAAACAGACTGAAGGTGTAAGAGATGAATTGCAGCAAGAAAGGGATATGAGGCAGTCCTCTTCAGTATTGACCTCCGATCTGGCTAGTAAATTGGATAAAAGACTAAAAGAGAGAGAGGTGTTATCCTACCATTTTTTAAGGCTAGGACGCCAGAAGGGGAAGAGGATCCAGATTAGGTCAATAATACAAGACTCACCGCTGGGACCCCCAAATCTGGAACCCATAGGAGAAGCAAGATAGTGATGAGGAAGAGAGCTACCTAGAAGCATCCGAAGATGCCCCTTGGGTTCAACCTTTAATACAAAGAAAGGGAAAAATCCACAGTTCAACATGCTTATGGAGGCCTTAGCAATGGTCTTGTGTGACAGACTATGGTAATCAGAGATTACTCAGCACTGGAGCTGTTTGAATAGGGAAAACTTTCAACCAAGCACTGAAGGAGCCTCTCACCACCTTACTTGTGAGGCTGTGGGTCATGGAAACAGATGAAATTAGTTTAACTGCTTAAGAAGCAGAGAAACTGAGCAATATAACTACCCATCCCTCCTTGAGACACAGGCTGCATAACCTGAGGCAGTACAGGGGGATTCCATCCCTGATCAAACAGGCTTGTAGGAGCCATTAGAGATACTTGGTCATCACCAGTGGAGATTCCCATACATATCAGGAGCTGGACAACAATAGAGGATGGACAAGAACTAGTGAGAGAACTAGGTATGAGGGGAGCAATGTATAATGCCTAGTTCACTGGGCCAGATAAGATTGCATTCACCAGAGATTTAAAGAAGAGCTTGATTGAACAGGGACCTTGAGATTGGTACAGAGCTTTAATGGCTTGCCTGAGTCCCATAGTGGGGCAGGATCTTTATGAAGTAGAAGAAATTTTGTCCGGTCTAAATGACTCAGATCAGCATGTAAAACATGTCTGGAAAACTTTAGAGCAACCTAAAAGAGATAGGAAAAAGACAAAGCAAAGAAAGAGGTCTGTTTGGGTTACTCAAATGCAAATGTGGCCAGATATGTATGAGCTCAAGTTCCTAAAGAAAAAATTGACAAAAAGCCAAATTCTGTGCAAAGGAGCTTCTGGAAGACTTAAAACCTGAGAAGCAGTTCACAGAAGGCATCCATAATAAAACAATACAGGTGCTGAAGATAAAAATTGTTCAAGGGGTAGATAATGATTCTCCCAGATTAAAGAGAGTACATTTCTCTCTTGCAAAAGATAATGCTGGGTATGGATACAGTTTGATCATTCAGGGCTGCCCACCATACCCAGGTGTGTTTGATGGAGAAACAACAGGTGTGGGTACAGCCATGGGTTAGACCCAGGACTTACCTGACCCAGGGAAATAACAGGTACATAAGGGATGAGAGAGTCCTGATTCTTCCTTGACCCTGTGCAGGACCAGCCTGCTTGAGTCAGCCCCAACAAGTTTATCAGGGATAGAGAAATGCAGGGAGGCTCCATGTAAGAACTCCAGGATACAGAATGGCTCTGAGAAAATGACTAAAGATAGTAAAGGACTAAGTTAATGCCTCATATCCATGCTACTGTACCCAACATGGATCTGTTGAGAAAATGATACAAATGGATTGAATCTTTCCAAGCTGTGTTAAACCTTGTTTGTGTTTTAGTACATAGTGTTAAACTCTGAATGTTTTACAGATGTGAAAACCCATTTGAAAGATACCAAGTGAACCTAAAGAAACAAGAATGGAGAAGATTCACAAGGGATACAAGGCCTTGGTGCAGTTTTGAAATTCTTGAGAGCTTTATGGTTGGGTAAGGCACAAATTATACCCACCAGGATGGTTGGGAAAAGTCTGCAACAGCCTGGGCCTGTAGATGTTAACAATAAACAAAGATACCTTATGCAAATAAAAACAGTGGCACCCAGAAACTGTATGATTATTAAATGAAAATCACAGTGCCAAGGGTGAGTTGCTCCTCCATGAGCTATTAGTCAGGGAGGCCCCAGAGGCCCCCAAAATGGTGAAGGCTATTGACACTAATGTTATTTGCATGCCAGAACTATATGGTATGACACTATTGCTGAAGACACCATATGATGTGAACATAAGGTAGGGAGAAATGAAGCTTGAACTAAGCTGGAAAGTCTCCGCCAGCCAATTGGCTGGTGGTCCTAGTGCCAAAGGATCTATGAAGATCACTGGGGAAGAACTGTCCCCAACAGTCCAGCTTAATGATGGACACCACGTGGTGTACTATTGCCTGATGCCAAGTGAGATGTGCCTGCCAATGCAATAGTGGCTTGACAAGTGTATGTACAACCAACAAATTTCCAAGTGGATTTAAGGTTCACTCTTCAGTAAGGAACACACGTCTGGTACTGCAAGCCAGGCCAACCCCTGGTGGCAGGGAAAGTTATAGGCCACTGGAATTGTTTTGTTAGATGAATGTGATGCATCTGCTAAGGTACCTTCCAAGCATTTGTGTTTATGCCCATAGGTTATGACCACAGTCGATGTCTGTTTAGATGTTTTCTTGTTTCCTGTTTCTTCCTTCTCATTTGTGTTTTTATAGTAGGAGGAGTACCACAGAGATGGGCTAACAACCACCTCCT